GATTGGTTGTTGTTGCTGCCTGGTTCCTCGTCCAATGCCTTGCGGTTTCCCATGAAGCTTCCAACAATGATCTCTTGCATGGCGGGGCTTGTTGCAATAGTCACACCATAGTCTGTCTTTGTCCTCATTTCTCTTGTTGGTTCGCTGTGCTCCAAGAAAGGCATTCTCGGTTTTCACAGCCATGGCTGAGTTCTCATTACCCGAGTTATTTGAGCCATTCATCATCATAGCCAGCCTTGATTCTTTTCCCTTCTAACAATTGATAAATGGCTGAAAAGTTGTATTTCTTTCATATATCTCAAGGATATTTATACAGGAGACACAGACCTATTCAAGGTAAGTCAGCTATACAATTAATTTGACAACTAATACATTAACAGCTCATAGATAACAGCAGCTAATAGATAACAACTGTACACGTTAACTCTCCCCCTCAAGTTGGTGCATAGATATCACACATGCCCAACTTGGATAGTGATGTATGAAACGAGCCACTGGTAACACCATGAGTCATCATATCAGCCAACTGGTTCGCACTCTTAATGTAAGGAACCTCTATCACACCAGAATCCAAGTTATCCTTGATGTAGTTTCGGTCAAGTTCAATATGCTTAGTTCGATTGTGTTGCACTGGATTATTAGCAATATCAATAGCTGCCGTATTATCACAAAAAATCAATATAGGTTTCTTTGGACCAAACCCAAGCTCACTTAAGAGAATCTTCAACCATGTAAGCTTCGTAATTGCATGATGAAGAGCACGGTATTCAGCTTCTGCACTAGACAACGATACCACATTTTGTTTCTTACTCCTCTAGGTCACCAAATTGCCTCCAACGAATGACATATACCCTAAAGTAGACTTCCTATCCAACTTGGCTCCAGCAAAATTAGAATCTGTATAACCCACAATGTCTAGGTGTCCATTCCTGGAGAACATAATACCTTTACCTGGAGAGGACTTTAGATAAGCCAAAATACGATTCACTGCATTCATGTGTCGATCACTCGGATTGTGCATGAATTGACTCACAACACTAACTGCATACGACAAGTCAGGCCTAGTGTGAGTCAGATAGATCAACTTCCCCACTAGTCTCTGATAACTCTCCTTGTTTGTCGGAATCTGATCAGGATAGATAGCTCAGCCATGATTTACTTCAATAGGAGTGTCTATAGGAACACACGCAGAGTTACCAGTTTCAGCCAAGAGATCTAATGTATATTTTCGTTGAGAGAGAAAAAGTCCCTGCTTGGACCGAGACACTTCAATGCCCAGAAAGTATTTCAGAACCCCCAAGTCCTTCATTTCAAATTCCTTGGCCAAATAGCTCCGAAGCTTCTCTATCTCCTTGGTGTTGCTACCTGTAACAATCATGTCATCCACATAAACGATAAGCAAAGTAATATCATCACCATTCCTCTTATAGAAGAGAGTGTGATCTGCCAAAGCTTGCTTAAAACCATACTTCTTCATTGAGTAGCTCAACCTGCCAAATCATGCTCTTGGTGATTGTTTCAACCCGTATAAAGCCTTCTTTAGCTTGCATACCTTACCTCCTTCAGGTGTAAACCCCGGGGGAGGATCCATATACACCTCCTCTATCAAATCACCATGAAGGAAGGCATTCTTCACATCAAACTATTGTAATGGCATCAATAAAAGATACAAGAAACATATAGACCCGATCCTCATAAATACGCTTCCTCTGTTTCTCAGTATCAATTGCACACGTCATATCATTTGGTCTTCGATAATCAAGTTCCTTGAAGATTGAGTTCAGCTCATTGTAGTACTTTACAAGAGGCCGACCATCCTGACGCAATTGAAAGGACTTCTTCATTAGTTCATAAACCTGAGAAGAATCAGAGACATCAAGATAGCTTCTCTTTACCGCATCCCAAACCTCCTTGGCTGTTCCACACTGCACAAAGTGGGACATCAGATTAACCGTCATGGAATTGATAAGCCAAGACTTGACTAGGGCATCTTCAGCCTCCCATTCATCATAAGCTTGGATCATCCTCTGCAGGTGCAACCTTTCTCCCTATGATATACCCCTTTTTCTGTCTACCAGCAATATGCATCTCCAAAATCTGAGACCAAACACGATAATTAGCACCATCCAATTTAATAGGAATGGGAGAAGAAGTTTCGTGAATAGTCATCATGGAGGACTTCTTGCTGTCAGATGAATTTTCGGTTAGAGAGGAAGAATCAGTGGTTGTTTTGGCTGCCATGGATCATGGCTAAGAGGTATTGAAGACAAGCAGCAGCAGCACAAAGAAGATAGCTGACGGCTGTTGCAGGTCTTTAGAAGTAAGGTTAAAATAGAAAAGAAAAGAAAAGAAAGCAGCGGAAATTCCTTTCTTTTTGCTCTGATACCAAATTGATAAATGGCTGAAAAGTGATATTTCTTTCATATATCTCAAGGATATTTATACAGAATACACAGACCTATTCAAGGTAAGTCAACTATACAATTAATTTGACAACTAATACATTAACAGCTAATAGATAACAGCAGCTAATAGATAACAGCTGTACACGCTAACTCTAACTTCAGCAAAGACCTCTCTAACAGATGGAACTGGTTTCCTTCCAAGCAATCTTCCTCTAACCTGATCGTATTCAGCATTTAATCCCGCAAGAAAATCAAACACTCTGTCTCTCTCAAAAAATTAACTTATATTTCATGCTGTCCTCCATATTCTTCCAATCATGGTCCTGATACAGGTCCATTTCTTGCCAAAGATGACTCATTCCATTGAAATAAACAGTCACACTTTGCATACCTTGTTTTGATTCATGGATCTTACACCTCAAATCAAACAACTGTGAGTCGTTATCTTTGTCTGAATAAGTGAGATCGACAGCCTCCCACAGCTCTTGTGCAGTATTAAAAAAACATGAAACTTGACTTATTTCTGGCTCCATCGAGTTAATGAGCCAAGACAAAATCATAGAGTTTTCAGCATCCCACGCTTCAAAACCAGGCTCCTCTGGTTTGGGCGCCTTCTTTGATCCCATCCAGCAATCCCATCTTCCCTCTGCCTTTGATGAAAAACTTCACGGACTGAGACCAACGAAGAAAGTTTTGGCCATCGAGTTTGTTGGTAGTAATCTGAATGGTAGGACTTTCTGTAGGCCCTGAGGTTTGCCTACTAGAAGTCTTTTTCCGAAGCACTAACAGAGGTTGCTTCAGACATGGTGGTCGAAGAAAGTTAACCAGCAATGAAGGCCGACTGATTTAGAAGAAAATGAACCCAGAACCCAAAGGAGGCTCTGATACCATGAGGAAAGTTTTTGAAGAGGGAATTCTATATTTCCTTCATCGTTTACAGATTGTAAAAGGCCTATATATACAAGAAAGGACAGCTACACTCTAGGCTATAAATAAGGAAAGAAATAAATGTACAAAGTCAAAGATTTGCAGCTGTACAAACAGCTGGAATCAGAAACTAAATGGGAAGGAATCATTCCAATTTTCTCTTATTTTTTCTTTTTTATTATAACTTTGTGAAATGAATAGAAATGAAAGAGCATGTTCAATGGTATTTGCATTATCCATGGATGGTTTTTATATTAGGATTACAGGGTTTTCAGATGGGTTTTTGAGATTGATCATTGGTTTTGTTGTGGTGTAGTGAGAGATGGAGAGTCCTGGCGAGCTGAAAATGAAGGCTACCGATCTGTCAGTCAGCAGGTTGGTTTGGGTTTGGTGTCAAAATGGGTCGTGGTGACCCAGGTGTATATCGGGTATTGAGGAATTGCCAAAAATATGTGTGTGTGTGTGTGTGTGTGTGTGTGTGTAATTCATGGACAAAACGGTAATTTAACTTAATACACTAACTTTGTTGGACAACCGTCACTCGCAGGGGACATTAGTGTTATTATGAAACCAAGAGGGAAGGTCGTCGTCATATTGACAAATGTCACAAACCACGAGGGAGTTAAGTGTAATTTACCCAAATTATATATATAAATGCACATGTATAAATATGTAAAAACAGATTTTGAAGGTAGATATATAACCAAGAAATGAGCGTTTGATTAATGTTAAACAGAGCGAGATGGGACTGGGATGGACTCTCTAACCCTAGCTTTAAACGGAGATTGGAATCCTACCTCAATCCTATCATGGGTTTGGGACGGGTATGGGAGGTACTTTTTCTATTTGGGCGGCCTCGGGAAAGGGTGTCCATCCCAAACCCGCCCCCATTTCTTTTCCTACCACTATACCTTTATTCAGGAAAAAAAAATACCACTGCACCCTTAGATTTAAAAATTTTATACACTTAACATAAGGGTGAAAATATATTCTAGTGGATATCTTTCGTTCTCTCCTCTTCCTCCCAATTGTTGTTGGAAGCAAAATGCTGGGATAAGAGAAAAGGCTCATCCATTCTCCAATCCTTTCCCTCTTCCTCTCCCCTCTACCAGCCAATGGAAGCTTTCTCTGTTGCTCCTCCCTTCCCTTCTCTCCTATCAAACATAGGCTAAATCGAAGTTTATGCACGATTACATGTTTATGAATTATTATTCCAAATTGGTCTCATGAGATTCAAAAGTTGGTTGCATGAATTCTTAAAATGAGCTTCCAACCACATTTTAAGGAAGAGAATTGCATGCTGGAGAATTTTTAACATATACCATATTTTCAGGCTGTTGTATTTAAATATCAATGTTAGGATTGTGGTATCGGTTTTCTGTCCACAACTCTGATGCATTTAGGGATATGAGAACGCTGGTAGAAAGTGAGTTTATTTGTCTATTTCCCTTCTAGTGACCAAACCACTTCTCAATGCTGGTTTATTTGCAAAGAAAACTGCCGTTTCAAGTTCAAAAGTCAGTTTTTGCCCAAGGAGAATACTTCTCAATTATTGTTGCATCTAATGATTAAGATATAAGAGAAGTGGAAGTTTCTTTCTTTGTTTTTTACAACAGCCATTATTTAGAGTTATATTTATTTTTTTAATATTTCATATTATATTATCAGGCAAATCCACGAATGACTCTCTTTACCGGCAGTTCGAGGGTGGCAGATAAGTTGGCTGTTGATTTGAAGGGTCGAATCAAATTGGAAGATGCAGGATTCGACTGGAAGATCCTGGGGCCTGATGTACAGGAGGTGTGGTGTTACAATTTTTTAAATTACATACATGAAAATTCTTTGTTTCTAATCACAAAGGCATTACAAGTTCACCTCTTTTTGGTGTCTGAATGGCAGGTGAATTATGTTGCATGGGTTTGTGATCAAGATGCATACGCATGTAGTGGCCAAAAGTGTTCAGCTCAATCAATGCTATTCATGCATGAGGTTAGCTGCTTCATTATGATATCATGTACCCAATTCCCTATGATAGTCTTTTAAAGCTTATAATCGGAGGCTAACCAATTTTATAACTATTTATTAATCATTCTTCATCCTTTTCACCATTTGCCTAGATTTTCTTAGACTCTGACAATACCATTAATCTCTTTATCACCAACCTCCCATTTCATTATAATTGTATATGCAGAATTGGTCTGCAAGTTCACTTATACGTCAAATGAATGATCTTGCTGCAAGAAGGAAGCTAGATGATTTAACTATTGGCCCTGTCCTTACGGTAAGCATGCCTACTCTTTTTTTTTCCCTTTTTTTTTATATTTAAATTATCAATTTTAATTGCTTATTGGTTTATGCTTAAAAGAGATTATTAAATGATTTGAGTAATTGATGACACAATTCATGCAAATACTTCATATTGGATGATCCAGAAAGTTGAACTGTGGTCTAGAGAAGTACATTTAATATTGCATTATTGCAACAGTTGAACTGATAGCTTCGAAAGTTGGTGTTCTGGCCCCCAACGCGGACTGATTTCTCCATCTCCTTCATGCTTGAGGAGTGTCGATAAGGCCTTCCGAGAGCATAGACTCTGAAGGGCGATCTAGATGGGGGGATATATAGTGAGTGTGCCGCTAGTGCTACCCTTGCTTCTGAGCCAGGATCCAGTTCAGTTGCAGCTAATACGGCAAATAAATCATTCAAAGTGGAAATCACTCTGTCCTCTTGCCGCAAGTCCTCGATATGATGCTTTCCCTTGACATCGAATAAATTGGCACAGAGGAGGTGCTATGCTTATGAGTTTTGGAAGATTTTTGCTTAGAAGAATAAGGCTGGAGGCAAATGCTTCCATTCAAAGCATATAAATTGTTACGTCAAGGGCCGAGACTAAAAGAAAGGAGTGCAAACATCGTCAGCTTATCAATTCCAGCCAGACACAGGCTGGCATATAATTGATTGACTCCGAAACAAGGATCCGAAGAATCAGTTGCAATCCTCTGTGGAATAAGAATCTCTTTCAGCATCCATGGAAACTTCTCTCTAGGACCCAACATATTAATGAGCTCTGCCTCCGATTTGAATCCTATCTTTAATAAGATAGACTAAATACCAGCCCAATCGAGAAAAGAAATCCATTATTGGAACAACCCAAACTACAACAGAGTGCAATTTCCCACTAGAATTCTCTTATTATCAATGGTGGTAGAGTCTGGCACCTTCCCTGTGCTGGACCTCTTTTTGCATGTATTGAAAATATTCCACTAAGACTTATTCGCTCGGCCAATTGTCGGAATTCTTCGAGTTTCTCAAAAAGGAGAACTACTTTTACATTGGTCAGGTAAATCGCTCGTGCTTGAGGTTCTGATACCAATGAAGGAGGGGCGGGGGGACCTACTATTCTACAGCCTTTCCACTTGTGCAAACTTAGATCGTGTGAGTGGTTTTGGCATCTATTATGCAATCGATTCAATTGATGATTCTACCAGGGCCCTTCTTCAAGGAGTTCGGAGTGAAAGGAACTTCAGGCGAAGGTGCTCAAGAGGCTGTCTATTATGATTGTGATTTTCCCTCGTACCCATTTACTATAGAAGTTCCCAGGGGAATGAATTAGTAGAAGAATTCTTATCTAAGTCATTTCGTTGTTCAGAGCTTGAAATCCTATCTAAGTCATTTCACTGTTGAATGACCAAATCCTGATCCTCCAGCTCAGCTTCTCGGTGCAATGCTTGAAACGCAACCGCAGAAAGCGAAAGAACTCAATTTCGCGCATATAGAAAACAAGGAGACAAGAAGGTGGGTGAAGAGTCTGATGACGAAGCTGTAGGGATTGCTTCTTTGTCCAACTTCAAAGCCAAAGTGCCCTTAATGAATAAAAGAAATAACAAACTTAAACTCATACTCTCTAACGGACTCTAATCTGCTTCATATGAGTGAATAATGCCCTTGGGGCAGGTTGTCGGGATTGAGATTCTACATTGGATTAATTGAGGGATCAATAGTATTGAATGGATCGAGGATCAGAGGATCCTACAAAATGAGTGGAAAAGGGAAATAATATATATAAATAGTCAATTCTTAAAATAGACAAAGAACAAGTCTAATATTCATGGAAGTATAAAATTTTATTCTCAAGGTCGTTGGAACTTCGTTTTCCTGTGGCTTGTCGAGCATCACAAGTTGTCGCAGCTTTCACATTATACCCCTAATTTACTTATTTTGGGGTTATATGTTGTTTTATGAGCTTTGAGTTTTATAAGATTTTGGACTGGGGGGCGATATGCTGAGTGATTTTACCTTTGAATTTAAACAAATTTTGGACTAGAGGACCAAACACAATAGTAGACCCATAAAAAGTCAGAAAAGCCCTACAACATTGATCATTAGAATTCTCATAATGATTCCTCATTTTCTGTGATATTTTATAAGATTGATTTGACTATTTGACGTTGCGGAAGCTATGAAACATTCACAAGGAATAAGGGTAACTTTGAATCCACATTTCATCCTGGTCGTGGTTAGATCTCCCAGGTTCGGGTCCATAAGCAGTGACAATTGCCCTATGAAGACTCGCTTTCGCTATAGCTCCGGTGGGTTCCCTTAAGCAAGCCACTGCCTATGAGTCGCCTGCTCATTCTTCAACAGGCATGCGGTCAGAGCCCCGGGCTCCTCCCACTGCTTGGGAGCTTATGGTTTCATGTTCTATTTCACTCACCAATGGGGATTCTTTTCACCCTTCCCTCACAGTACAACTTCACTATCGGTCACCCAAGAGTATTAAGCAAAGTCCAAGAAAAATCGCAGAGAATTCTGATATATTATTGATAATTGAATTGGTTCATGATCTGCTCTGCACTACATTTATATTTATGATAAATAAAACCCTAAAACTGGAAAGGAAACTAATAGCATAAAGAAACCTAATTAATAGCAAAAGGAAACTAACACTAACAGTAAAAATAAGTCTAAAATTAATATCTGACTTTGTTTAGGTCTCGAACAAAAATTCCAAAATACTTAATAGGCCTCCTATAAGACAAGAGAACACGATTTCAAAACCCTAAACAAAGGTTTTTTTAATGGGTCATTTCCACCCAAAAAACACTCCTTTCAAGTTGAAAACGGACTTATCGAACTGTCCAGAATTCTGTCCTGCGTCACAATTTTAAATTGTAGGGTCTTACTATCCTTTGATCGAGATTTGGATTCTGATAACCATCCTTTAGACAATGCCTTTTAACCTGGATTAATTGGCTGTTAAATTGGTTTGACCAAGTTTCAGCCTCTTTAGCCAAGCAGGCCATTCTTTGGCTAAAATGATGGAGAACCTAAGGAACTGGCATCCTCAATTAACCGGGACAACACTAGATAATGTTATTTTTAAACAAATTGATAAATAAATTATTAAGTCATATCTATTGAAGTTGGTTGAAACGCTTATTGGATTAAAGGAAATGCTACACAAAATGGCTTTTTTCATTGCAATTTGTTACCTACAGACACAAGCAAGTGCAAACTACATTTAACATTAATATGACTCACAATCCCTTGTATCAATAGGTTACAAAAGCCTTGGGAGAAAAGCTGGTTTGTGTAGCATTACTCTTGAATTAATTCACCAATTGTTTTCCTTTGTCAATGACTTTCAGGTTGTTTTGTATGTCCTTCAAGGCTACCACCTGTAATAGTTTCCTTGTAATGTTCATTGTATACATGTTAGCATAGACGCATACCATATTGCAATTCTATGAATCTACCTAATTTATAGAAGTTATTGGCAATTCTTTGGGTTGAAACTGATTCACCGAATGTCATAAAAATAAGCCATACATCATCAGATTGATTATCTTCAGGTTAAAGTGTGGTTTTCAACTGATTCACTAAATTTCATAAAAATTAGCTATACATCTTCAGATTGATTCTCTTCAGGTAAAAAGTTGTGATTTTGAGCCCTTGAAATTTACTAGTGTAAAAGAGCCATGCATTGTTTAATTATTAGTACTTCAGTTTTTTGTAAGAATCAATGCCAGTGCCTGGCTGGGAATGGTGTTTATAGGACTGATTTCATGCATGATATTCATGTAATTAAATCGTGACTCTAGTATGTGTGTGTGTGTGTGTGTGTGGTTCGGGGGGGGGGGGGGGGGGGGGGGGGGGGGGGGGGGGTTTACAAGAAAACCCCCCTAAACTATAAAAATTGCAAAAAAAAAAAAACCCTGAACTATTGGGGTATCTGCAAGAAACCCCCCTGAACTATATATATTTTTGCAGTTTACCCCATCCAACAACCGGCAGTCCATATAAGAGCGCGTGCTTGTCATGTGACACAAAATATTACATTGAATGACCATAACACCCTTATAAAAATGAAAATACTTTAGTGCCCTTCTTTTAATTGTTACACCCAAACACCTCCTAATCTAATTTCCCAAAATCCCCGTTTCACCTTGCTGCCAAACAGCCTCTCTTCCTCATCATCTTACTCGTACCTTTCTTCCCCAAATATCCGCAAGTCATTCTCTCTCTATATATATATATTCATTTTATATATAGGCATTTCTTCCCAAAAATCACTCAATTTCCTTATGAACTTTTTGTTCTTGAAATTATATCTATATATATCTATATATATTCGTTTATATATATACCTGTCTTTAAAAAATCCGTATATTTATATATATATATATATATTGATATATATATAGAATCTTGCAATTATATCGAACTCTGGTTTTCCGAAGAACCTTCAAAATCATTAGGTCCCATGATCCCAATCTCCACAATTGAAACCTCAATCTTATATTTCTCAAACCAGACAATCCTCACATTGTCTGGTTTCTAATTGCCATCTGTTCCAAAATCTCCCAGTTCCATAATTGAAAAAAATAAATATAAAAATAAAAAATAAAAAATAAAAGTAATAATAATAATAATCAATCACTCATCTCTATATACTCTTATATATCTATGTGTGTGTGTGTGTATTACAGAGAATGAGTATATGTGTGTGTATATATATTACAGAAAACGACACTAATGATCTCATGAAATCGAAAATTCCTCCCAATCCACCATTCCGAAACCTTCGCCAGTGTCTTCATCGCAAACTACCTTGGCTATCCTCGTCTTCGTTCTTCCTCGCCCTTTCGGCGACCTCTGCTTCTTTGTTGGTGCCATGATCGTCCTCTCCAAAGCCAATTTTTGCATCAGCTCCTACAATTTTGGAGTTATGGCGTGAATGAGAAAGGAGGAGATAACTCGGTCAAGAAAAGAGATAAGGTGACTTTTCAGAAAGAGAAAATAAAAAAAATTAAAAAAATGAAAAAGGAGATAAAGGTTGCTGTGTTGTTGAATATCCATTGGTTGGTGAGATCTTATTTGCCACGTCAGCAACTTAAGATTACGAGTTTTAAAACTGTGTTGTTTTATAGTAAGGGCAAAATGGCCTTTTGCTTTTTCCGGTGACTTAATGGGGTAAACTGCAACAAAACAATAGTTCAGGGGGTTTGTTGTAGTTCAAGGGGGTTTCTTGCAAAACCCCAATAGTTCAGGGGAGTTTCTTGCATTTTACCCTATATATATATATATATAGCAACTTGCCTACTTTTTACTTACAGCCAACTAACCATTTGAATCCAGATGTTTGTTGCTGCTAGCATGAGTTTCATTTGAACCATTTTGTTTTGAGATTTACGCAAGTTCTGTCTTCTAATTGGGTTTTCTCATGTTCTTTTTGTAGTTTCTTTTTCTTTTTCTTTTTTTGATAAGTTTGTTCTTGTTGCAGTTTACAACTGAAGCAATGTTAGAGCATGTGAATAATTTGCTTCAGATATCAGGATCAAAACTACTCTTTGGTGGTGAAGCTTTAGAAAACCACTCTATTCCTCCGGTATATGGTGCTATAAAACCAACTGCCATTTTTGTTCCACTTGAAGAAATATTAAAGGACAACAATTACGAGCTTGTAACAAGGGAAATTTTCGGACCATTCCAGGTAAACTAAACGAGACAGCATAGCTAGAAATTTTCTGTATCACAAAGCTTGTTTTGATGATTAGATAATGTTAGAATGTTATATATATATATATATATAAGTGTTGGGCCATTATGTAATTACAGAAAGTTGATAGGGGCCCTTGTGTAGTTAAGTAAGACTTGTACTCTTTATATAAGCCTTGTACACTTTATTAGGTTTTTCAGTATGATGAATATATACAAGTCTGAAACTTCTCTCTCTCTCTCTCATATATATAATTGTGAACATGGTATCAGAGCGTATGATCATGGGTGTGAGAATCTGTAATTGGGTTCTTCTTGTCTAAGATTCGAATTGCAGTTGTGGTGTTAGTGATCTCTACCATCGGTTCCTTGTTTGTCGTCATCAGCAGCGGCTTGTTCATCGTCGTCAGATCTGGGAGTTGTTCGTCGTCGTCTCTGCCGTGTTCGTCGTCGCCGGCAGCTTCTCTTTGGTTGCCAGCGAGCTCATCGACCTCTGCAATCTTGATTCGCAGAGGTGAGGTTCATCTTTGTTGGCTGGAAGTTGCAGCGATCTCTGCTTATTAGTTCGGCCGTTACTTGTGATTGGGTCACCGTCGTTGCCGCCGCGTTATTCCCCAGCGTCCATGAAGGTGTGAAGAAGAAGACCTCTGTTTGGCTACACGGTTATGGCTACTTCAACCCTAGTTTACTAAACCTGGATAGCCCAGGTCAGTCCAACCCGTTTGACCAAGTCCGTTGACCAGATCCGACTCGGTTTCCCAGGTTCGGCCAGAATACAGAATCTGTTTTTTTTTCTCCCGCGTTTTTCTTCTCTGTTTTGCTGGATTCAACGTGGCATCTAATTCAGATTTACTTTCACCCACGAACAGTCTTCATTCTCCCATGACTTCAGTTAAACTGAATGGGAAGAATTACATATTGTGGGCTAAATCTGTTGCCATTTTCCTCAAAGGCAGAGGACTTGGTTCTCATTTGACTAAAGAGAAACCCAAGGCAGCTGATGCCTCCTTTGATGCATGGGAAAAGGAAGATGCTCAGAACATCTCTATGATGATAAACAGTATTGAACCCCAAATTAGTTCAACTCTACTTTATTTGGATACTGTCAAGGAGATATGGGACAGATTGCAGCAATTGTATTCTGGGACAGGTAATATCACTCGTGTTTATGAGCTCTGTAAGCAGTACTTCAATCTTGAACAAGGTACTCAAAGTATAGAAGAGTATTATTCTAAAGTTATGGGAGTCTGTGAAGAGCTGAATATGTATCAGCCCATTACAGGTGATGTTCGCAGTATGCAACAACAGCTTGCGGACTTTAATGTTGTCCGTTTTCTTACTGGTTTATCATCAGCATATGAGCCTTTTCGTGCACAGATTATGAGCAGTCCAACACTTCCATCTCTTGCTGAGGTGTTTTCTAGACTTCAGTGTGCTACACTTGCAAGTGATACCTCAAATTTGAATACTGGAAAGAGTGGTGAACGTTCAGCATTAGTGGTCTCAAAGGGTGAACATAATACTTACCGTGGAGGTCGTGGGGGACGCTCCACCCGTGGTGGTCGTGATTCATGTGGAGGACATGGCCGTGGCAGGGAATTCAGAAAGTGTACCCATTGTGGTCTTTCTAATCATACTGTGAACTTTTGTTGGGATCTTCATGGGAATCCATCTAATTATGCCAATCAAGTTTCCTCTTCTCTGAATGATGTTGCTTCTGGATCACACAACGTAGTTGAATCAGATACAGTTCCTGTTCCACGGGATGAGTATACCCAGTTTTTGTCTTATATGCAAGCATCTAATTCATCTTCCACAGCTACTTTTGCCCAGTCAGGTACTGCACACACATGTCTATTGTCTTCCACTCGCAGTCCTTGGATCATAGACACTGGAGGATCTGATCATCTGACCGGATGTTCTTCTCTTCTATCTGATTTTCATTCTGTACATCCTTCTCAAAGTGTCACTCTTGCTAATGGTTCATCCACTCAGGTTTCAAGTTTGGGGACAACTCCACTTAGTGATTCATTGTCTCTCTCGTCTGTTTTACATGTTCCGCAGTTTCCCTTTAATTTAATGTCTATAAATAAGCTTACTAAATCTCTCCAGTGCTCTGTTACATTTGATCCTACTTCTTGTGTGTTTCAGGATCTTAAGACGAAGAAGACGATTGGTACTGGGCATGAAGCTGGTGGCTTATATTATTTTGATTTCGAATCTTCTCCTGTGGCTCTTCAGTCTTCTCTATCTCCATTCCAGTGGCACTGTCGCCTTGGTCACCCGTCACTTCAAGTTTTGAAGCGTCAAGTTCCTAGTCTTAAGTCATTTGAAATTTTTGTCATGTGAAGTTTATCAACTTAGTAAGCACCATCGTGTGTCTTTCAAGTCTAAGGTTAATAATCGTGTCTCTAGTCCTTTTCATTTAGTTCATTCAGATGTATAGGTTCCAATAAAACATTCTTCAATCAATAAATTTCATTATTTTGTGACATTTGTGGATGATTATTCTCGCCTGACTTGGTTGTTTTTAATGAAAGATCGTTCTGAGTTATTTTTAATTTTTCAAAAATTTCGCAAAGAAATCAAAACTCAGTTTGGATGTCCAATTCATATTCTACGTTCTGATAATGCTAAGGAATATTCTTCAACTCCATTTGATACATATCGTAGTGATAAAGGAATTATTCATCAAAATTCATGTGTTTATACTCCACAACAAAATGGCGTTGCAAAACGTAAGAATCGACATCTCTTAGAAGTAATTCGTGCTATTTTGTTTCATATGCGTATGCCTAAACGGTTTTGGAGTGATGTTGTTCTTACTGCCTGTCATCTTATTAACCGTATGCCGTCATCTGTATTAGATGGCAAATCTCCACATTCTATTTTATTTCCTGATTCTCCTTTGTTTTCTCTTCCTCCTAGGGTTTTTGGATGTGTATGTTATGTCCACAATCTTGGTCCTGGTTTTGATAAATTAAGCCCACGTGCCACAAAGTGTGTATTTCTTGGCTACTCTCGCTCTCATAAAGGTTATCGCTGCTATAATCCTGTTTCTCAACGGTACTTTATTAGCGCAGATGTAACGTTTTCTGAGTCCGTCCCATATTTTTCAGATACTCATTCACTTCTTGATATCACTCTTGAGTCGCCTCCTTCTGCCGTTCCTCTTCCCTCACTCTCTCTTCAACCTCGATCTCTTGTTCCTTCATCTGCCCCATTACAGGTGTACACTCGAAGACCAAAGCCATTGGTTGTCGTGCCTCCTCCATCGTCTTCAGAGTCCTTGGATCCAGCGCCTTCCACTGTGTTTGATTCCTTGCCTATTGCACTTCGTAAAGCTCCTCACTCATGTGTTACTAACCATCCCCTTGCTCATTATGTCTCTTATAATTCCTTATCGCCATCATTCTCCTGTTTTTCCTTTAAGTTGTCTACTACATTCGTTCCTAAGACTGTGCAGGATGCGTTATCTGATTTGGGCTGGAGGAGAGCAATGCAAGATGCGTTATCTGAAATGGATGCTTTGCATAAGAATGGCATGTGGGATCTTGTTCCATTACCTCCGGATGTCAAACCTATTGGTTGTCGCTGGGTATATACTGTGAAGTATCTTCCAGATGGGTCTGTTGAGCGTTTAAAAGCACGTCTTGTTGCCAAAGGTTATACCCAAACTTATGGTATTGACTATGGCGAGACATTTTCTCCCGTTGCTAAGATTTCTTCTATTCGTGTTTTGATTTCTCTTGCTGCTAATAGACATTGGCCTCTGTTTCAGTTAGACGTTAAAAATGCCTTTTTGCATGGTGACTTAGCAGAAGAGGTTTATATGGAGCAACCACCTGGGTTTGTTGCTCAGGGGGAGTATCTTCACACTGTTTGTCGCCTTAAAAAGGCTCTGTATGGATTGAAACAATCTCCACGGGCTTGGTTTGGAAAATTCTCTGAGGTGGCGTTAAAATTTGGTCTTAAGAGATGTCAGACCGACCATTCAGTGTTTCACCAGCGCACTAAAGCTAGCTTCATATTTCTTGTGGTGTATGTAGATGATATTGTGATCACAAGTGATGATTTTGAAGGCATTGCTAAGTTGAAGTTGTTTCTGCAATATCAATTCCACATTAAAGACTTGGGTAAACTTAGGTATTTCTTGGGCATTGAAGTTGCTAGATCCAAGAAGGGTATAAGTTTATCCCAACACAAATATGTGTTGGATTTATTAGAAGAAACAGGTATGTTGGGTGGTCGTCCGGTTGATACTCCTATGGATTCAAATACAAAACTTGTATCTGATGAGGGTAATCTATTTAATGACCCGGGCAGGTTTCGTCGCCTTGTTAGGAAATTAATTTATCTCACTATCACTCGACCTGATATTTCATATGCAGTCAGTGTTGTAAGTCAGTTCATGGGAGTTCCTAGAATGCCACATTGGATTGTTGTTCTTCGGATTATACGATATCTCAAGAAAGCTCCAGGTTTAGGGTTACTATATAAATCAAATGGTCATCTTAGGGTGGAAGGTTTTACAGATGCTGACTGGGCTAGTTCTCCTTCAGATAGGAGATCTACTACAGGATACTGCACATTTGTAGGAGGAAATCTTGTTACATGGCGAAGTAAAAAGCAGACAGTGGTAGCTCGATCTAGTGCTGAAGCTGAATATAGGGCAATGGCCCATACCACTAGTGAGTTGACATGGATACAACATTTTCTAAAAGAACTTGGGTTGATAGTTGAGGCTCCTACTCCATTGTTCTGTGATAATCAAGCAGCAGTTCACATTGCATCAAATCCTGTGTTTCATGAGAGGACCAAACATATTGAAATTGATTGTCACTTCATTCGAGAAAAAATATTAAGTGGGAGCATCTCTACTCCATTTGTGAAGTCTGAAGATCAATTAGCTAATATGTTTACCAAAGCATTGGGTCATAACCGGTTAAGAACTATCTGTTCCAAGCTGGGATTATTTGATATATATTCTCCAGCTTGAGGGGGAGTGTTAGAATGTTATATATATATATATAAGTGTTGGGCCATTATGTAATTACAGAAAGTTGATAGGGGCCCTTGTGTAGTTAAGTAAGACTTGTACTCTTTATATAAGCCTTGTACACTTTATTAGGTTTTTCAGTATGATGAATATATACAAGTCTGAAACTTCTCTCTCTCTCTCATATATATGACTGTGAACAGATAAAAAGAAAGGTACCTGCTTAACTGGACAATAATTGATTATCTAAAATTTGACTATTATAAAAATTGTCAAGTTGGTTGAAACTTGTGCAGGCTCCAGAAGGAGAGGAGCTCTATTGCTGCATTCAGAATAATGACAAGTAGATATAGAATATGGCTCCATATCAACGTTTTGGGTTGAAGAAGATTAAATTTTTTCCCTAAAACAATTATTTTATGTATCTTTTAATGGAGTTGATTTCTATAACATTTCAATTGGAAAATCTCCTCCTCTCTCCCCCCGCTTCCTCTCCTAGTCCCCTTAGAAGCCCCACACACAATTCATCTCAGATTTTGCATCATGTTAATAGCCATGCCAACAAAGCACTGATTTCTTGTGCTCTGCTAATAACTGGAATTTACCAGTTTGGATTACTAGAATATAAAAAGCATTCCAAAACAGAACAGAATTCTCAATAAAAACTTTTCTTTTTTGTCCTGTGTCATTTTTTTAAGAGTGAAATTTTACTTATGGTCAGAATGCAACCAGTATCTTTGCCCTTTGGACTTGTGGGATGATATTGTAGAGCTTTATGTGAAAAGATCTAAGTGTTAGGGAATGCAATCAAAATCTGTATGTGTGTGTGTGTGAGAGAGAAAGAGAGAGATTATTTTGAAAGCTAACTCATGTTATTTAAATCTTTTTCGTGCTTAGGTTGTTACTGAGTACAAAGATGATCAGCTCCCAATGGTGTTAGATGCCCTTGAAAGGATGCATGCGCATTTGACAGCTGCTGTGGTTTCCAATGATCAATTATTTCTGCAGGTAAGAATGGCAACTCTTTCTTATTCATATGCCAAATTTCTGCTTTTACTTTTTCTACATGCTATCCCTGCTCCAAACTGAGACGTCCTTGCTCTTAAATTGAAACTTTTACCTATTAAGCACAATGCTTTGGCTAAGGACCAAGTTTATTCAATTTAATTGTTAACCACCGTCTACTCTAAAAGCTCAATATGTTGGAGAGCGTGTAACTTTAATATTTAAATTCTTCAACACGCCCCCTCAATTATAGCCTTCTTTTGGTCCAACACGTGTTTCAATTTTAATTATCAGGGTGACGATGAGGTTTGAACACAAGACCTTGCCTGCCCTAATACCATGTTAACCGCCATTTACTCTATAAGAGCTTAAGCGGTTAGAGAGGGTGTAACTTTAATATTTAAATCATTTAATAATAATCTTAGCAATGGTTCTTTGGTTTCAATTCATGGTAATTAATTATCAGTACACTTCAGGCTCTCAGCATTCATACCCAATCATAATAAATTGAAACTCACTCTTTATACATATCAAATAAAATTTTGTACAGGTCGATTTAATTTGCTTATCCAACACATAGTTCTGCCGAATGCCACATAACTTTTGCAGACAATTTAGTAAATAGGCTGAGGTTCTTTTTAGGAGGGTCCCCGGTGGGCTTTTTACATGTATTTTTCACATGCATTAGTTTATGGTACATGTTATTCTGTAGGCAAGCTACAGTTAACTTCATTCTTCTAAGAATCGGTCTGGCTACAAACATTGTTGAGCGACCAGGCTGTCCAATCTGGTTCATCTGAAATATGAACCAAATGAAATAGTCTAATCATGAATATCATCGTGAAAACTATTGCAAGAATAATAACAAAATCTAAATAATAAAATATTATGATTGCGAGGATAATCCACTATAGAAGCCATTTACTTAATATGACAATTAATAGAAACGTGTAGAAGTAAACAAAAAGATCTTCACGTGGTTTTCATAGACTTAGAAGAGGCATATGATAATAGAGTAGTGAGGGAAATATTTTTGTGGACTTCACAAAAAAATGGGTCCCTATAAAATGGCTGATGAACATAAAATGGTGAACTTCACAGTTGGCCAGTCCGCGTAAAAATATTCTCATACTTGCTACTTTTCTGGAACTTATCATTGTATATCCTTGTCCAAATATGATCCTCCATTTGTTATACTCTGTTTGATAGCCTGATGATATTATTGATGGCATTCTTTGGAAGAATAATGGAATCAATTAAATATATATATATGTGCCCTAAATTAAGAGTTTTGGAGTAGTTCTCAACACGTTCAACATAATTGTCATGGAAACTCAATTTGCAGAAAGTTCTCGGGCAGACGGTTAATGGAACTACTTATGCTGGATTGAGAGCGAGAACTACCGGAGCTCCACAAAATCACTGGTAAGTATAAAATCAAAAGGAAATTCTTTTTGCCTCATTGGAACTTTTTGAGTGCTTAAACATGTCAAAAACAATGTCCTGTCACAGGTTTGGGCCATCTGGAGATCCTAGAGGAGCAGGAATAGGAACCCCAGAAGCAATAAAGCTTGTTTGGTCTTGCCATAGAGAAATCATATATGACATTGGTCCCATGCCAAAACTCTGGAATACTCCACCTCCTTCCTAAATCGTCACGTAAACGATGAAGACAAAAGAGAACATATGGACTTAAAACCTGCAAAGGGGTCATGTGGCTAATAATTAATGTCAAATGACAATATTGATGGAAATTAGTTCTTGTTAAAATAAATGGCAACTTTCATTTACAGTTAATTGCTATTTCAATGTTTGGTTAGTTTTTTAATTGTGTTTATGTTGGCCATTTTGTGATGTTATTATAGATGCATAGTCACCAAGTGATGCTGATGTTTCTTACTTGAAAGCCATTTTCTGGAAATGTCAATAGGGGTCTTAAGGAAAGAGCTAATGCAAGGACATAAAGGTTTTTCTGTGGTCTTTTTCCCCCCACCTTTGTATGTATGTGCGCGCGCGCCCATGTGCTAACAATGTATAAAGGTCGAGTTTAATGCTTTGTTCGATGGAAGGAATGAAAAGGGGCGGAAGGAAAATAAGAAGGAATGAACAAACTTCCTTCGTTCGGTAGAGATAACATAAGAAAATAAAGGATAATATGATGAATGAGTCATCCTTCCTCCTTTACAAATTTTTATCGGTCCAAATATAGGCGAAATAGAGGAGATAAGACAGATTAGCATATTATAGAAGTTTTAAATTATTGTATCATCTTTCAAAAGTATTTAATAAATTTTACAAATAAAATAGGTGGTGGGTTTAATGGTTAAAACAACTTTAAAATATCTTTTTCTTTTTATCCTACCGATCAAAGTAAATTCATAGGGGGTGCTTGGGTTCCCCCCCCCCCCCCCCCAACGGGAAAATAAATAAATAATTAGTATTGCTAAATTTAGCCCAATTTCAAAACAAAACAAATTAGTAATAGTATTAACTCCCAATATTAGGCCATCCTAACAAGCCAAGATTTAATCCACAGTTTTAAAATAAAGGCCCAGCCAAACAAGCCCTAAAGCTCGATTACAAAGCCAGAGCACAAATTAGAAAACTCCCTCCAATATATCTAAATTCCTAGTCTTCTACGTGACCTAGACTCTCTCTCTCTAACCCTATTTCAGTTTTTTTTTAAAAAAAATTTAACTCTTTCATCTTTAGATCCCCATTCTTCGTAGTCCCCCTATAAACAATTTCTGGATTCGCCCTTGAGTAAATTGTCGTTTTTTTTCTTATCTTCCATCCAACCAAACAAAAAGCGGGAAGAACATAATCTCTCCTCTAGAGATATCTCATTATCTCTTCTTTTCTCCCTCTCATTCAATTTTCTTCCTTCTTACCGAACGAAGTATAAGAGAAATGGTTTCGAGTTTGAAAGAAGATGCGTGGACTAATGAAGGTCCAAAAAGTTTTAAAGATTTGATCTACAAATATCTCTAACCACAAGGACCCCTCAGCAAACATCAGAACAAAGAATATGTTTATTCCTGCATAAAAGCATTGTGTGTCAACCAATATTTCTTGAGATAGAAAAAAAAGGTAAGAAGGGAGAGAATTCTCAAAAAAAATACCAGTGTAAGTACACATTGTGCTCAACTACAACTTGCATTAGATGATGCCTTGTAAGCCAATTAATAGTTAAATTATAACCCAACATGGTTGAAGTGAACATTGGGTGGGGGGTGTGCGTGTGTGTGTGTGTTGTTATGCTAATGACACTGCACTTAATTGTAAATCTTAATGAAAGTGAACATTGTAGTTTTTGGTGATGGAAATGCAGTTAGGGGGGAAAAATATGTATATATCTTATGAATCAATTAACATTTTTATCTAGATAGATATATATATATATATATATATATATATATATATATATACACACACATAAATATTTTCAATCTTATTAATCTTTTGTTTCATGCATGAAGAACAATATACGCGCACACACACGTAATAACATAAAGCAACATTTATAATCCACTCTCCTACTCCCAAAAAATTCACTTTTGCTTCATTTAGATTGTTGGAAATAGCAAGAAAATAAATAAATAAATAAAATAAATCACCTGTCTTTTTATCTCTATAAAATAAAATGTGTTTGTTTATAAATGACTTTTGCTATAATATAATAGTCTTTATCTGTCTAAATGTCCAACAATATTATTTATTTTTCAAAAAAGACAAACTATATATCCAACATAAAGTTATTTAGACCTATTATCCAAAAATAAAATAAAATAAAAATGGTGGCTGTGGGGTTCGAACCCACGCGCACTTATGTGCAGAAGATCTTAAGTCTTCCCCCTTAACCTCTCGGGCAAACCACCACATGAATTGCAAATCAAACTTTGTTTTATTTATATAATAGATATGTGTTCTAAAAAAACCCTGACTTCTTTTTTACCACAAACATTAATTTAACTATTCTTTTTTATGTTATCGAATCTTCAATATTGAATGTTTTCGTTTGTTTTTTGTCAGCTCAAATACTGAATATTTTCGTCTCAAACTAATTAGAGATGTATTTCACATCTTTAAAAAAAAAATTAAAATATGAAAATTCAAAATATGCGAACTCTAATGAAAGCAATAAGAAAGAGATGAATTATTTGAAATTTACCTCATCAAATATTCTAGCTTCTTATAAGTTATACATAACTTTTGTTGTCCACTAAAATTCCTATTCAAACATTATTGCATTTGTATAATTTTAACAATTGATATCACTGAATACTTATGAAATTCTATTGGTTAGAAATTCACGTATCGAAACGAATCTCTTTTGATTTATTTTACTTACTGATTAATTCTTTCTTAGTTTATCACCTTATTTTTATTTTATCTTATAAGCATTTTTTTATTATTATTATTTATTTTTACTGCTTTACGGTCTTAGAAATAAAAGGTGGTAGAATGGCAAATTGCTCAACTCACTCTTACTTGGGGAAGGGAGAGGAAGGGGACTCGAAGAGATTCCTTATTTCCCCAGGAAAGTCACCACGAGAGAAGAGAAGGCACCTTTTTATCTGCTCTTCTATGTTATTATCAAATGTGTTTTATATTTTGGGTAATAAAAATAATGATAAAGTATAGCAATACTCTTTGAGATTTTGCAAAAAGGATACACAGATAAAACTTAGTCTATTTTGGAATAAAGACATCCCCTCAAGTTTGATACAGTTACCAAAGACACCCTAATAGTAATGAATTGACGTTTTTGCCCTTTGACTTTTATATTGACCAATTTAAATATTGAAATGACATTTCTAACCTCAGACTTAAACTCATACCCATATTTGTCCTTCTCTCCTCTCTATTCTCTCTTCCTCCTCTTGTTGCCCCAACACAAACACACACACACACACACATACTATGAGCAATCCACACACATATATATACACACACTTAAATTACGGGTTCAGCTCCACATATTTGCATTTCACGATCCCAGCAGGTCCACCCCTGAATCCATATAGTGTGTTTCCTTTGCAACGATCCTGTAAGTAATCTACCAGAAACAAAAAAAATATATTACTCCCTCTGTCCCATATTAGATGTCCCTTTTGGGGAGTGGAACTTTTTAAGGGCATGTAATTATTACATTGTTGTCTTTAAAAATTACAAAGCTACATATATATATATATATATATATATATATATATATATATAATCAAGTTTGAAATTTTTTAAAATTTATGAATATTTTATGAAAAGATGTGAAATATATTATTTAAACTTAATAAGTGGACAAGTATTTTGGGACAACCCAAAAAGGAAAGATGGACAACTAAATTGGGACAGAGGGAGTAAAATCACTAACAATCCAAATTAAAGGCACGGAAAAAACTTCGGGATCTCATCTGCACTCCACATCATAATCAAGCCATTGCACATAATTTATTAATCCTAAACGAGCCTTCGTTTGGTTGTTGAGAGAGAAAACGAAGTAAAGAAAACATTTTTTCTTTTTTTAAAAAATCTAGTATAGAAACGCAATGAAAGTGCCAAACCAGATTAAAAGTGGAATCAAGCTCAAATCAGTAAAATAATAGAAGTCCAACTTCAAAATTTCTATTCGTGATTCAGAGAGATTAAACAGTGCTTTCATAAATATACACACACACAAGGCGGCGGCGGTGGCGACGACGGCGAGCCACCTCTCCTCCATCGTCAGCGTCATCGACTCCGCCCATCCCAACGGAACCCTAACAAAATGGAGTGATACTGCGGCAGCGACGGATTCAAGGTTGATTTTTCGGCGAAGATTGCTATTGGTGAGGTTATGAATTTGGGTATGGGAGATGATAAGCGCTGAAAAGTGCGCATTTAAACCCCTTAATCTTGAATGTTCTAGGACCTTATTCTATCTTATTTTCCCGTTTTAGTTCTAATTTATGTTTTTGTTTATTTTTAGGTCAATAAGGTTCAAACGGGCTAATTTCGGTCCATTAAGGCCTTTTTGGAGTCAAACTAAGTCTTGGTGAGAAGCTGGAGCAAAAAGAGACTAATGCTGAAAACTAACAAATTAGATCGATCGAACCCTAATCGATCACACCATACCTCTGAACGATCACACTCTTGGTTAGATCAATCGAACTGTTCGCAAAAATTATAAAAAAACAAATCTAAAGCTCATTTGAAACCAACTCGGGCTGTGCTAGAAAGGGGAGATCCTAGGGCTGAGTCTCACATTTTTGGGCTCTAAAAGCCATGTATATAAAAGGGATTGAACCATTTTTGTTAGGAGATTCATATTCATTACATTGTAATTTCTATATTTTCATTAGTTTCTCTCTCTAGAAAGTTAGAGATTAGGGTTAGAAGAAAAGAGGGAAGTGAAGGCACATCTCAAGAACACATCTCTAGATCCACATATTCCCTATCTCTAGAGCTTCAAAGAAGAAGAAGAAGAAGATGGAGCCATGTTTGGAGCTTGCCCTTGAGGGCTTCATGACCACATCCACCTCCTCTATGATTGTCTAGATCTACACTTAGGGCTTGGATGAGCCCTAAGTCTTGTGTAATCTAAACCCTCGTATTTCTATTTTTGGGGATATATATATATATATATATATATATATATATATATATATATTGTTGTAATTAGTGGTTGGCCTTGTGATTGTTGATTCAATTATTCCTAGTGATTCTCTGTTTTAATTACATGTTGTCTTATGTGTGATTATTTGGGAATTGATCTCTACACTAGATTTTCTATCTTGGTTGCATGTCTATGTGTGATTAATTAAGGATTTAGTGATGGCTAAGCATGGTTTT